TTGCGGTAACACAAATTTCAATGAGTTAACGGTCGAAGCCATAACGATTGCCCCGAACGTAGTCAACATAATATTTGTGTCACTGTTCAATAGTAAGGGATTTTTTGTTTCAGTTTTATGTTGCGTCAATGTGGATGAATCGAAGCTGAATGGAAAGGTTGGTGGAGGTGTGTACTTCAAAGAATTCTCCATTTAGCCTACCGGATCGCTGCAGCGTTTTTCTAGCAGAGGTAGCCGCAATAAAGGAGTTTTGGAATTGTTTGTTCTCCAGTGTGACACTTTCTTATGAGATGAATATCTCTTCCGACAGCCAAGAAGCCGTCAGGGCTCTTGGCTCGTTAATGGTTCATTCAAGAACGGTGAAGAATTGTTTTACTTCCTTATCGACCGCTTCGGATTCTTATGTTATTAAGCTTATTTGGGTTGCGGGTCACATACAAATCTACGGACAAGACAATACAGAGAACCTTAGAGAAAATGCTCGCGGATAGAGTAAGTCTGGGTGCTCCCTTAACGTCTAGACCCTACTTGTGGACAGATGGGCATTTGGTGAGTTACGCGGGCGCTGAGCGATGATCTTGGAATGCAAGGTAGCTAAAGCTTTCTGGCCACGTGTAACTCGCAAGCGGTCCAGGAAGCTCTTAAGACTGAGCAAGTTACATCGCTCGCTATTGGTGGGAGTTCTGACTTTGATTGATGACCCTACCTGTACCAGATGCTTGGAGGATGAGGAGGTGTAATCATCTTAGCACCTACTACCCTGTTGCCCTGCCGATGCGAGCCTAAGGTTCAAACACTTTGGGTCGAACTTTTTCCACACTCCCGATGAGCTTTCGGGAAAGGATATAAATCGCTTGAGGATCTTCGTGGTGAGCACGGACTAAAAGAAGCACTTACGTGTCGTAGTTCTGTTTTTATCCATCTGTTTCTACCCCCCCCCCCCCCACCCTTTCCACCTTCCTATGTCTTCCCTTCCTCTCTTAAGGGCACCACAATGGCCAGCTTAATCCGTGTCTAAGTATGCACCTACGGAGGCGGCCCTTCTCCCTAACCTTATCTGCGTTGTGCGATTATTGCAGAGGACCGTCGATAAGTCCCAGTCGTAAGCTGATGTACCTACAAATGTCCATTTGTACAAAACTATATCAAAAATATACAATACACAAAATGCCATTGCACTTTTTTCCCCAACAATGATACATTCTTCGAAAATACGCTACGAAAGAACTATTTATGTACGTATTTATGTCTTTGCATTTTCACCGCACAGACATACCATAAAAATAGCAACAATAATTGCTAATAATTAATTTAAATTTGAGAAAAATATGCCTACAATTTGACCGCTACCGCCGCCTTGCCGGTGAATGCATTTGTTGGAGGGAAAACTAAGAATGCGGGTGAAACGGTAGGACGCGTACACACATAAAATGATCACTACATGTTGATAAACAAATTCCGTTGCGGCGCAGTGCATGGTGGTGCATAGGAAAAAGGGGTTCGTTGTTGTGGCTGGCAACTGAACTAGGTAAGTACATAATACGTACGTAGCCTACGGCACGGTACTCGGTGCATTACATGGCAGCAGCAGCAGCAACCACCAGGACTGGCGACAAATCAACGGCCGGCTGAAGTAACGCAACAATGTTGTATTCTGTAGACAAGATTTTTAATAATGCATAACGAATCAGCTATGATCAGTGGCATGTTGGCGTGCTGGTGGTGGCACGGTATGCTACGCTGAAAACAACAATGAACCAATGCTATATACATAGATAGATATAGTGCAGCGCGCTGGGATGAAAAAAGTTTTGAATAATGTTTCTGACGGGTTTTAATGCCAGCCAATAGTCGAGACGACAGGCAGCCAGTCAGCTTTTTTATTGTATGTACATACATACATAAGCACATCCTTATAAAGTTGTTGCGCTGCCTTCTTGTTTTGTCATAGTCAATGCAAATTATTGCTGCTACTGTTGTTGTTGTTGTTGTTTTTGTTGCGATCTGTTGTTATTTTTGCATTTTGCAAGAGACTTTTGTCATTTGGTCGGGCCGTGCCGTGTTGTGCCGTTGCCGTGCCGGGCGCGTCAACTTGACTGCAATAACTTAGGCCAGTTGCTCATAGAGAAACAGTTTCTCTATGCAAAAATTGCCGCCATAGTTCCGAGCCAAAATCATGTATGTGTATGTATGTATGTATGTATGTATGTATGTATGTAGTGCGCTCTTCAAACTTCAGCATTGCGCACTTGTTAGCTTGCTTTTGTTGTTGTTGTTGTGGTTGTTTTGGTCTGCTTGCATTTTTTGCACACTTACTTTTTGATTGCAATCGCTTTGGCTTGCTATTATTTCACAGTAGTTGTATGTAGTTGTACTTCTACGTACCGCATAATTCTTTACGAAAATTTTTTCTTTAATTTATCTCCGTACTTTTGCTAGCAAAATATTTGTGTTTTTTGTCCCTTCTTATCTCTTTAATTTTCTATGTATATTTTTATTTTCTTATTCTGTTTCGTTGGGGGATTCGCTGCGCGGCAGTTCGCTTGGATGCATAAGCATCTTTTGTGAGCATATTTTTGTAAATTTCTTGGCTTGCCAAGTCACATAGCCGTCCGGAGAGATAAAGATTTATGGTTATGCTTATGTTTTCGGTTGCCATTTCTGGCAGTGCTACCAACAGTACCTAAGTGGGGCCTTATAAAATAATGACTTTATATACATTCTCTGTAGTTGACGATCGCGAAAATAAATTGGAATAAAAAAGAGTCTAATTTACACTGGATTTGTCACTGTGTTGTTATAAATAAAACAAAATGTTTTAGATGCACAATTGGAACTTATATCATTGCTGAGTATTTGTCATATGCAAACATTTTTTTAAATTCATTTTCTACTCTGCCTTCCATTAAATGGAAATAATTGCATCTGAAAGATTATCGTCTATTGATTTGGATCACTTGATATATCATTCCGGAAGGAGATGTAGACGCAGGAGCCTTCTGAGCTAATTGCACGGCTGTTCAAGCGCGTTCGCAACAAACGTCCGTCAGTATATCCACATGGTTAATGCTTTAAGCTTGTCTTTGGGTAATTTTTTTTATATATATTTTTTTTTTGTCAGAACGAAATACACAATTTGGTAATTTTTTTGGGGCAACACTGGTGCTGATTTTTGGCATTGTGCACTGTTGCAACATAAAAACCAAATCTCTAAACTTCAATAAAATTCAATAAATTTGCATACTAATTTGCAACTTTCTATTCAGATTTTTTAGAAAAATTCTAAGTGTGCAGTTTTATAGTTTTATATATAGAAGTATCTCAAAAATCGCGTTGACTTTTGGCAATTTTTTTAGTGGAAGGTGTTGCTCATTTTCTCCATACAAAAAATAATTGTCAAGCACTTGCAGCTTGCACTTTGTTATACTAAAATTGAATGGGCTATAAAACAGCATATTTGGAATTTTTTTTTTAAATCTGAATAGAAAGTTGCAAATAGGACGCAAATATATTGAATTTTCCTGATTTGTGCACAAAGTTTAGAGATTTGGTTTTTATGTTTTTTTGTGTAGGACAAACTATATTTTTATAAAAAATTATCGAAGATAATTTAGAATAAAAAACTTTGCAGATATTGCGAAAAATTCTCTGTGCCAATTTTGAAACGAATTTCTGTCACCGCTGGTCCAACAAATCGGCTTCTTCGTTGTGTCATCATCAGTGTCATTGATTGTTCGTCTATGATTGCAAGACAAGCTGAAGGCCCGTCGATATTTCGTCGACATTCGTATTTGTATTACATAAGCCGGTCGACAAGGGGTTTCCTGATACTTCCAATATTTTGGCGGACGACTTTATAATCCACTATAAGGTGTGATACCTGACAAGACCGACTATAGTCAAGTACCCAAGCGTAGTTTGCATAGGAGGAGGCTGGACGCAAGTGCTGTAGAAACTTCGCGTTCTCTTCCTTGGTGCTTGGCTGGAGTGATTCAATTGGAGAGTTAAGAGAAGGTTCTTTAGGGCCGGTTAATAATATAATAATATCTGGTTAACACTAATCTCCGGTTAAATATAGTTATCGACGTTACCGACTCCCTGTTGTATGCGTGTTTTAGAAAGGTTTGATCGCAAAAGCTTGCTTGGAGCCACTCAGTTTATTTGCAGATCTCTGACTTGTACTTCGTACTCTATTCTATGTTATCTATTCCTATTTTAATAACAAAACAAGTTTCATGAGCAGAACATTTTTAAAATGCCTCCTCTTTTCTGTTCTTCTAATTCCAGATATTTTCACTGCATATTGGCAATGCTTAATCAACGTCACTGTTTAGCAAAAGAAATGCATAAAGTGAATGAATTAATGAAAAATTATAATACCAATTGCTGTGAGTCCAATGTGTTTGAAAGCAAAAAAGTAGACGCCAATCATGGACTACCAGAAAGGTGAAAGTACGCGCAAACTAATTAGCTGACAGTGTTTAACTTGTAAGTTTTTCGAATTACGCCTTACGCCTTCCCAAAATAGTAGCAGTCTCCTTTATGTGTGCATAAATATCACAAAAAAGAATTCATAAATTCTAATCAAATGCACCAAAGGAATGCTGGGTGTCTTAGGGCGGTCAGCAGCCGATGTGTGAATACCGCTAGTGAGCGAGGCATAAGCGAGGTACGGGTGCGCCACTTCCGGCGGTAATCGATACACTGTGGCCCCCACGCTTGCAGCCAAAGGCGCCGCGGGGGCCCACCCATCATTGGTAGTGCGGCGTGTATTGCTCTTTTTGGCAACAACAACAATTTTGGTGGGGTCGGTGCCAGCCCTCGCGGTGTCCTCAACCCAAAGGCAAATTGCAAAACGTTTGTGCAGCAGTGCCATTGGCAATAATTGCACCAGCAATAAGAACAACAACAACAACAACAATAGCCGCATAAGTTATATTTCAGACAAAGAGTCTGAAGCGGATGCGACATCTTTATGGCCATTTTTCACATGGCCGGTGATGCAAGCCGGTATTGCAACGACATCAACAACAACAGCGGCGAGCAAGGAAACATTGCTAATACATTTATGCTCTAAAATCAGCAGTGGTAACAACAACAATAACAACAGCAAAAAGGCAAACAACAAAAAGAAGAGCAAATATTTGACATGGTACAAAATAGTGCCCGAACGAAACAACCACCAACACAGAAAAAACAACAACAACATCGAGCATTACATACACAAGCGCAACAAAGGTTTCGGCGACGACTGCTACAACTACAGCAACAACAACCACAACAACACTGTAACGTCGACGCGCGACGAACAAATTGGAAACGTAGACGGAAACGCCGGCGGAAACGGAAGTGTTCGGGTAGTGCATACGGGAAATGCCAATAAAAGTAGAATAAGAAAAAGTAAAAATAGTTACTACAGTGTAAATAAAATTGTGTTAGCTACAAATGGGAGCAACGCGTCGAGTAGGCATCTTGTAAATAAAAATGTTGTAAATAGTGTAAATAGGAGCAGGGTGGAAACGCCGAGCGCACAGGTGAAGAGAGATGTTGCCGCAGGAGGCAACGATTTTTCAAATGTCAAAGGCACACAAAGCACGGGCAAAGTGCAATTCAGAGAAAAAGTGTTAAATATGAATAGAAGTGCAAATGTGAGTTTTTCCAAATACTTAAATAATAGTTCCACAAGTTCGAAAGTTAGTTTAGAAGATTTAGAAAACAAATCTGAAAATTTTGTTAGCCAACAAAAATCGCAAATATTTGTGAATGGTCTTTTTTCGCGTGCACAAATTTCTACCGGCTTACAAAATCAGTTACAAGCAAGAAATAACAGTGCTACGAATACAGCAACATCAGCAACAACAACAACAACAACGGAAAGCGTAATATCCACACGTCTCGATTACATTGTGATTACCGATTATAATCGGCCACGAAAACGTACTTTTTGGCAGAAATACGGTGAGTAGGTAATGAATGCACTTTTACTTTATTAGAATTCTAACATAAATTACGAATAATTTTCATTCATAAATAGTATTAACAATATTTTTGACAAGAGTTAGATATACGTAGGTCAACTACTTCAATAGATATGCATGGGCAATAGACGTGGAGTGCAATAAGGCCCGCGGAAATAACGCCCATGGGCTTTATATCCAAAAAAAAAAAAAGAAAAAAAAACCGGCGGGCGTTATTGCCATATGGAAAGGGAATTAGCTCCCACCAATAAAAGGCAATAAAGGCCGCGGGCTTAATTTATTTTTCGAAAAGGTAATAACGCCCGCGGGCTTTATTTCTTTTTTTTTCAAGAAATAAAGTCCATGGGCGTTATTTCCGCGGGCCTTAATGCACTCCACCGGCAATAGATCGTACCAGAAAAATATAATATGTTTGCCGTGCACCCCTGAGTTTTAAGTATTTTTGCGAGGCAATTTCGAGTTTCTTTTTAATTTTTACATTTTTCCTCATATTTTAGAGATATAAAATTTTTCACAATTTATTTCAAAGTTCCGTCATCTCAATTACACCGTTCTAGTACTTACACAAAATATCTCAGATCCTACCACCCAAAGGTTCTACATAGGAATGTTAATCCCGGGATCCTGGGATTTTCGGGATTTGTAATTTGCACTGCTGTCAATAATGTAAACTCCTTTTCTTAACCAGTCTTGGCTATATTTTTTTTTTATTTAATAATTAATATTATTTTATAAATTTCTAGCTCACTATACATATATGTAACATCGTGATATAGTGAAATTGCGTTTTTAGTTTTTCACACTGACGTCAGTAATTCAAAAATGATTTAAAAAATTCAGTGAAATGTGCTTACAGCCAATTTCACGAAAGCAATTTAAGTGAAAAATTATTTTAGTTTTTTGATTTTTTTATGGAAATTTACAGAAAATAAAAAACCATTTAAATTGCTGAAACCGGCTGCTAGAGAAGAAGTATAGGTAAGAAATTAAAGAGAAAATTCTGTAGAATTTAATTAGATTAAATTTTTGGTGCATAAGGCCGGGTATGTATTAAAAATGTCCCTTCAAAATTTTATCCTTGAAATTTTGCAATATTTGTTTATATGTTAAGGACTTATATGAACTCGATAACATCCTCGAATTTCGTCCATATAACTTTATCAGATTAAAAAATTACCTATTCGTCCTTGTGAATCCAAAAAGTTTTAATTTTTTTGTGTTCTAGAAAAATTTCCTCCTTCATTTGGTACCCATAGTTTTATTCTACATTGTAATTAATCATATCTTTGAAATTACAAAGTCCTTTAAAATAAATCCTGACGTCAGAGAAAAAATTTAAAAACGCCACTTTAAATAAAATATTATTTATTTATTTATTATTTATTTTATGATAGGAGAGATAAAAGCAATTTTTTCGATTTAAGTTGTTGAAAAGTAATGAATATCTAAATCCCGGGACTAAGCTAATTTTTTACTACCGAATGTAGATGTCACTGAAAAATATAAAAAGGCTACCCCTAGGTTTGGCGAAACATTTTTTTTCGAATTTTTTTGCAAAAATACACTTATTTCTACAACCTCCTTTAAAAATTACTATGCCATAAAGACCTAAAAAACAAGGATACTTCAGAGACTTTGTGATACTGGTACACACAGCGGAGTTACAAGCTGACCGCGCAGTTCCTAAGCTGATCAAAACGTACTTCACATTTTATAGTACCTAAAGTGATGGCATTTGGCAGTCACTGTGCCTGTACTTTCATCTCATGTTGATAATCGAATTTAAATTAACACTTCAACACCAGTCAATATGAAAATTCACTCATAGCCATCGGTGGGTCTGTCAGAAAGACTGTTTGTCACTAGCTTCACAACTTTTCCATTTCAGCTTTTTCGCCGTCGATTTTTCATTACCATCCTATGAAATGCATATACATATTCACCACAAAAAAGTGTATGTATGTAACTTTCAGGTTGATAGGAACCTAAGGATTTGTCTACGGACAGCCAGTAAAATTGCTTCATTTTAGTTGAGCAACAAAAAAGTTTTACTACCACAATGAAAAAAAATAATAACTAAAAGCACTAACCCAAAACCACCGGCTGGGCACACTACTCTATGCTTTATCTAATAAAATAAAATTACCTTCAACCTATCTGTCTCATGGCTAAAAGTTTTTATTATTAGGTGTATATGTTTGTATGTATGTATATTGGACGACAGCTACTTTGTGGATTGGGTGAAGAGCTTGTTATACGAGTACATAAGGTTAGTTGATGTCCGGTGACTGGTCAAAGCGCGCGCGCGCAGTCGTGTTTAATTATTCAAATCCATGTCATGTCTCGAGATAATTGCATGCATAGCCAATGTGTGCATTATTTGATATACATAAATACACCCGATAAACTTATATATAAACACGGTTGCCACTTACTTCTTTTTTTTTTTGATGTGCCAAAAAGTGTACCAAAATATGGTTTTGCTATATATTTCAGTATTCAAATATTTTACAAAAAAATATGCAGCTTCGCTTCATTTAAAAAATATACTTATTGTTTCGAGCTTCCAGAACATGGTCAATTTGTCGTAAATCATCTGACTTGGCCATATGAAAAATAACTACATTTTCGCAGCTATACTATAAGGGTAAAAAAAATAAAACAAAAATAATACTCTTTGTTTTATATCAATATTTCATTCATCTTTTGTGTAAAGATGAAAAATATTCCAGCTGGCAAATGCTCACTTGAATTTGGGTTTTCGTAATGAAGCTTTTTTCCAAATAGTTTCGTTTAACATCCACATTGAAGATTTATTTATTAGTAACTTACTAAATTTAATTAGACTTTTAAGCAGGTGGCAACCCTCTTTAAGAACATTTTCGAAACAAAGCCTTACTTGACATAATTTTTTAATGTTTCATTTTACTTATTGATTCAATTTTATTTGGCTTTTAAACAGGTAGCAACCAACTTTAAAATGTTTTCTAAATAAAGATTTATTAAACTTCATTCGTTTGCCACCCATATTATAATACTTCATTCAACTTATTAATAAAATTCAATTTGACTTTTTAAGCAGGTGGCAATACTGTTAAAATTTTTTCGTAATAACGCCTTCTTAAAACTCGTTCGTTTCGCATCCATATTGCTTTCAACGAAATTGAACTTATAATTTAAAGTAAAATTTAACTTTTTAAGCAGGTGGCATCCCTTTTCAAATAATACATATGATATATTTCAATCCAGATCATAAGCTATCTGCATACTAAATTTTATGCAAAGTAAGACCCATAAACATACTCACAGACATTCCGATTAAAATATACGTAGGATTTCATTAAATTGTCAATTACCCTAAAATGGTGGCAACTTTCATCAAAAATATTCTGCTAATAGATACAGCTTTCGTAAAACTTCAGTCGTTTGATGCCAACATTAAAAGATAATGTTTAATTTGTTAATTAAATAAATTTAGAATTTCTAAACAGGTGGCAGCGCTTTTTAAAAATATCTTAGAAACAAAGTTTTCCCAAACCTCTCTCGCTTGATAACCATATCAAAACATTTCGTTTAACTTGTTATCCAAATTGATTTTAACGTTTTTACCACGTGGCAACCTTCTTGAAAATATTTTCGTATTAAATCGTTTTAAGTCCTTTTCGTTTGATGCCCATATTGTTGTGATACTTTATATAAAAAACTAAATAAACGATTTGAATTTTTTTAGCAGGTGGCAACCTTCATAAAAAAATATTTTTGAAATAAATCGTTTTGGAACTTCTTTCGTTTGACAGCCACACAGTTATACTTAATATATACTAATTAATTAATTGATTTTAGCTTTGAAAAAAGGTGGCAACTCTCTTTAAAACATATCCTATATGCCAATTTTCTCATTTTCGGTATGAGTATGATATATTGTGGAACGATTTTCCGACATCCCTCGTGAAGTTTGGTTTGTAGACATACCGTTTTCGACGTTGTGCCATCTTCAATTTAATTTTTCTTTCAGATTAAATGTTTTGGTGCGCAAGGACGAGTAGGTATTGAAAATGTCCTTGTATATTCTTGAAATTTTCAAATACATATTTTTGAAAAAAAACATAGGTTAAGGACCAATATACACTCAACAAAATCCTCGAATTTCCTTCATCTAACTTTATTAGCTTAAAAAAAATGAAATTAATTAAAAACGCATTTTTAGTACCTATTCGTCCTTATGAACGAAAAAGTTTTAATTTTTTAAATGCTACAGAGTTTTCTGTTTAATTTGGTACACATATTGTTAATCTACATTGCACCGCTTTTTGTAAATAATTTTTGGAATTAATCACACCTTTCAAACTACAAGGTCCTTAAAAAAATAAATGTTGACGTCAGAAAGTTATGTACCAGTGCCATCAAACTGGAAAAAATGTTCCAAAAATGGTACATTTCGGCCAAAATGGCAACCGTGCTTATACATGTACGTATGTAGAACTGCATGTAGGATTTGGAAAAGCAACTTGGCCATCAACGTCATTGTTGCTACCACGCCCACTGCCATAAGCCTCAGTGCTTGTTCACAACACAATATTCACCATATTCGCCCAATGCAGCCATCACATTTATGTACGTCGACATGTTGCCAATGCTTCCCGAGGAGGCAGCAGTCACCAAAAAGCTTCGCAGGCACACATGCATAGCCACACGTGTGTATGTATGCATGTGTATGTAGCAGTCAAGTTTATGTCGGTCGGTTGTCGGTATCCCTTGGCGCTACATGAAACTACACATACACCTACACTCTTTCACTTTGGCCTCTGGCAGCTTGTCACAAACGCTGAGACAGCCAACTAAATGGAGGCGGTTTGGTGGACAGACACAAATTGACAGGCAAGTGGAGAGGCCAGTGCAATGAGAAGAGACTAGGAAAAGACATACATACATACATACATACAAATATATGTACGTTTCGTCGCAAGCATTCAAAGCAATTGTCTATG